TTGAGGATGAAGTCAGAGAGGCTCTATTAATTCATCATCACACCACAATACAATACTTAACAATATCATATAAAATACCTTTTGTAAAGCTCTTTAATATTATTTTTTTAATGACACACTCGGCAATATTCCAGCTATATGACGGCGGTCTGTAAATAATCGAGCCTGGACCAGATAATCCACTGATTGACATCAAGAGCATCCATCAATACATTTGGGATACGTTGGCATGCATCAACCAAATCAGCGAGCCTGACCACTTGATCCCATTAGTCACCTCTTACGACAAGCAAAGTCACCTCTTACGGCAAGCATGGTTTGCTGAAGACCTATTCTAGTGTATTATTGAGCATGTTACTGTGGAGGAGTTGTGCACAGTGAACCTTGGTCCTTGAAAGGAAATACATAGTGCATACAACCCTATACTAGGTGTGAATACTAAAACTATATATGAGTGGTGCGGAAAACTAGTGGTTAATATCATGAGCAACTGTGTACTCACTATACAGACTGTGTTAAGTTCACTATTCACACATGACAAATAAAGACAACAGTTAAATATCTCAAACACTGTTTTCCAATATTTCATAGTAATACAGTTTAAGAACCATTACTTTATTCCAGGACATCTTTTAATACACACTTAGATTAAGTTTGCATTAATATACAAATATTCAATTTCGGTGACATATTTAATGCATGGATCAGCAAACGCTATTGCCGAGAATGTAATTTGCTTATTCACTGTATAAGTTTCATTGTTTGACGACAGTCTATTCATACACCTGACAAGTCAGAGAGCATTACTGAGTGATCAGGAGCTACCATAAAAGATGCTGAGAGGATGCTGTAATAGATTGGATGACCAGTGCCTAACAGACTGCTATATCAGACTGGGGTTAGCATGTTAGAAGGGATCGAAATTAACAGTTTGAGACAAGTAAAGTTTAGGAAGGATGAGTGACATTTCCTCATTTCCTTGTGGACAACCACTTTTAACATGAAGTTGATGACAACTCTAAACAGATCATTTTAGTGGACTTGTGAAAATAATCAGTGGCCATTGTGTCCTATCTTTACCCATTTCAGTCACCGCCAACAAAACCATGAGGTACTGATGCCAATGCCAGTCATTCAGCCCCAGATTCCATGCAGTCTACCAAAATATACCCCCAAGGTTCTGTTCTATTTTGTCAGATTAATTTGGGGAAAAAAATGCTGCGACAAAATATAACAAGACTTGATTATAATTACAATATTGCATTTTATCATCCAAAACTGGCTCCCACAGGAGATATTGCTTGGGTGAAATTGCATCACAATGCTTTGCAGACCATTGTGACGTCATTGTTACCATGACATCACAATCAAATGACATCACTAATGGCTCTGCTACTGAAGCTGCTTATAACTGTCTACAAACTAAAAAGTTGGAAGAATGATGTTGGATGATAAATAAATCTCACCCTCGTGTCTTTTCATATCAAATATATCAACACTCATTGGTAACACTCATTGGTAAAACTCCTCGGCACTCCTCCACTTTTTTCAACTCGTGTTGATATATTTGATATCAAAAGACATTCGGGTGAGATTCTCTATATCTACTTGAAACTACTTTAAAGTCCTCTGAGTATTGTTCTTAAAATCATGAAAACTGGCCGTTGTTTTATTATTTGATGCTGAAAACAATAATTCCTTTATGTTGATGAATAACCACAGAAACACTGGACTCCTTGCCTGTGTGGTGAGAGGTGAAGGTGACAAGAAGCAGAGTTAACTGTTACAAACAACTTAAACCAAACTTGCATTTATAAAAAATCATTTGGGTGCCTTGAACCATTTTGCATAAACACTACATTAAAAATGTTCTTTCATACGGATGGTTGTATTTTTAGAAAGATGATGAAAATACTATTTCTCAACAACTATTTAATCCTATTTCCTCAAATAAGATGAAAGTGTTCGTTTGTTTTCATTCTCCCAGGCCTTTAGCTCATGGTGGTTGTGGTTCATTGACAGAAAATTATAAACAGATGAAAAAAGGATTTAATCACCATTTTTTCAAATTAAAACGGATAAATAATCAGTTTTAGGCCTTGAGCAAAGTTGCGGTTCTTATTGATAAGGATTATTCCATCTAACTTCAATTAGGAGAAAAACTTGGTGTGTTTTTAGATTTGTGTTACGAAGTATTCAATGTCCATATCAAACAGTCAACAATGAAAACTGAGCACGTAAAGTCTTTCGACATTGTAAATACCAAATCTACATTCTTCCACACCACATTTCAGCTTGTTCTCTAACAGCTAGCTGAGAAAGAGTCATGAAATACTGGAATTCTGTGACATCATGATACAGATATAGATACTTCCATGACAACCAAACCTGGCTAGCAGAATGTAGAGTTTCTGATCAATAGGAAGTAGACACAAATCAAGTCATTACATAAAATGCCATGTTTCTTTTACATAGTTTTTTTTGTTTCTTTGTTGTTTAACGCAGCACTCAGCAATATCCCAGCTATATGACGGCAGTCTGTAAATAATCGAGTCTGGACCAGACAATCCAGTGATTGACATCATGAGCATCGATCCTCGCAATTGGGATACAATAATATACATCAACCAAGTCAGCGAGCCCGACCACCCGATCCTGTTAGTCGCCTCTTATGACAAGTATAGTCGCCTTTTACAGTGGTTGTTCACCTTTCTGGATTCAAATCGCACTGAGCAACCAATCAGATTTCAGCACACACTAGTGTATACCAATGACTGGCTTAATAAGTGAATCTGTGAGAGTCTCCCCATGTGAACAGTATAATCATGGCTGATAAAGGTTAAAGAGATTTCATCATTAATTATGGCCAACAAGCATCCAGGAACATATAGGAACCAATTGTTTCTTATTAGATAAAAATATGAGTAAGTTGGGTTTTACGCCACTTTTAGCAACATTCCAGCAATATCACAGTGGGGGACACCAGAAATGGGCTTCACACATGGTACCCATGTGGGGAATCAAACCCAGGCCTTCAGCATGACGAGCAAACGCTTCAACCATTAGGCTACCTGCCGCCCAGATACCAATATGCAAGAATTTACTGTCATAAATTATACCTGCACTATCCGCATAGTGTTGCTACAAGAATGAGACAGGCATTAGAGGTGTAAATGGGAAGTGTATGGTAGCTTGCAGAGAAATATTATTTTTAATATTTAAAGCTAATCTCGTTAAGTACAAACTGGAAACCCAGGACACAGATGAGCAGACACTTCTGTTGGGTTCCTACTGTCCTTCGATATCTAGGATCATTTGAGGTGAGGTGAGTTGAAATGGGGTTTAACGTCACGTCCAAGATTATTGCACTTATATAGCGACGTGCATGTACGTGTGTGTGTTTGTGTGGCTGCTTGTACTAGTCCGGACTGATGCCGTTTTATCACTGGTATCACTGAGATACCATGCCGCAGTTTAACATGAATACCCCACTCAGAAACAGTATACTGACTCCGAGCTGACCAGTCCTTGTTTTAGCCCCTTGATGCCGAGCACCAGACAGGGTAACAACAAGTACCATCTTTTAACGTCTTTTGGTATGACGCTCTACCACTAGACCACGGAGGCGGTCAGGATCATTTGAAACTGGAAAACTAGAACCGTGAAAGCTGAATAAACGTGACAGTAGAACTGCTTGGTCCCCTAGGTCATTCTTTATCAAGGAAATGATCATTTACCGAGAAAGAAAACTGTTATGCAAGAACTCTTATGCTGGGTACATCTCCAAGTGACTGATCAGCTTATCATTCGAGAGAATGCATGAACCTCACTGACACTGGTATTTGCCATCTTTGTTCATCATCAATATAGTGAAAACAACTGATTAATAAGGGAGATTGTCTCACTGTTAATGGTGTTAAAAACATACCCTTGTTGGATAAGTGGCAAGTAAATGTTTTTTGCTAAATCCCTTGATTTGCCACGGGACATGCAATAGTCCATTTTACTTTCATCACAGCCCTATCCAAATACCGGTATTTGGTTTCTAAATTTCTCTTTGTTTGTTGTTTAACGCTGCACTCAGCAATATTCCAGCTATATGATGGCGATCGGTAAATAAGCGATTCTGGACCAGACAATCCAGTGACAGATATTATGAGCATCGATCCACGCAATTGGGATACGATGACATGCAAGCCTGACCACCCAATCTTTGGATCTTTGGAAATTTTGGAAACACCGAGGCTTGAATCATTCATGAAAGTTTCAGCTCCATTGTTTCAAAGATGTAAATAAAATGTCAACGTTGAATCAATATGAGAAGGGACAAACCACTGGGATTTAACTTTCATTACATTCTGTAATAATCCGTTTTACCGACCACACCTTCAAATTTTTGTTTTTCTATTAAATTTATTTATAATTCCAAGCTATGTTTTTAAATCAAATCTGAAAACCAAATAACAAAAATAAAAACCACTCGCAATGATATTGACACAACTGAAGCATAGTATATTAAACCATAAAACAAGTAAGTGAGTGAGTGAGTGAGTTTCATGCCATTTAGAAATATCAGCCAATACAAAGTGCAATATCAACATGGAACAGCCATTGTGTATAGATGATCCCCAATCATGTGATCTCCTGCTGGTGATAATCATGTGACACAGAACAGCTTGACTCCCAGCCGGTAATTGGGGGATGTAGACTTAGAATACTTATCAAGATGTCCGAATTATACAAAGAATGTATATACGTATCTAAGGAATTCAAGTATTGACAGAAGCCATTTTGTCTTTTAGCGTGTCCTTTGTCACGTGATCACCCAGAGCAGCAGAAAATCACATGCCTTCTGCATTGATGTATCCAGCAATGAGTCAGCGAGAAGAAAGCAACCTTGGTTAACGCCTCAAAGCCAAACATAAAGATACAACAGCTAATACACCACAAAACTATTGTGAACTAGATAAAGAACTATCAGATCCCGCATATATACTTACAGTTTGACACATTCGCTTGAAAAACAAACGCAAGCACAACATGACACCCCATGAACATGCAAAGTACTCGAGCATAAGAAATACCACACAGTTAGTGGCATATTAAAAAAGTATATTGCTGAAACCCCTATAATCTGGATGCTGTTAGTTCAGTAACTCTGCCATCTGTTAGATCTCTTTAAAGTAGGGGTGAAACAATACAGCAAGGTCACGATACGATACGTATCATGAAACAAAGGTCACGATACGATACGTATCATGAAACAAAGGTCACGATACGATACGTATCATGAAACAAAGGTCATGATACAATACGTATCATGAAACAAAGGTCACTATACGATACGTATTGAGATATGCATATTTATGTCAAATCGTTTGGAAATGCCTTGAATAAATATTTCAGAGCAGGTTCAAAAGGAAAAGCTAGCTATAGACGCTTGTACGTTGATAGGATTGAACTTAATTACATCACATTTAGAAAATTTGGACTGACAAAAATGCAGGGGGGTCATTAAATGAACAGTAAGGCATTTTAGCAAGTGTATCGTGTTGTATCAATACAGATAAAAATGTATCGTGTATTGTATCGGCACATGAAAACTCACGATAAACCGTTGCACTGATGAATCGTTTCACCTCTACTTTAAAGCAAGTCAGACTTCTGCAGCAATATTCCAACCATATACTGGGAACAACAAGAAGGGGCTTCACACATCTAACACACGTTGGAAACTAACAGTTTCAGTCCACTAGTCCTTATAATGATAACATATAGTAAACCCCTTAAAAATGGCAAGTTTCTACTTGTCCTTATGATACCTTAACTATTGGGCAGTTTGGCAAGCATGGACTACAGGGCTAGTGCCAATTTCTAACAGTGTTTGAAACTGAACCTGGGTGTTTAGCCCGAGCAAATACTCTAACCACAAGGCTATCCCACCCACCCACCACCCCTTAATCACTGTGAGCAGTACGGGTATGCTTTACAGGGTCTCCTTGTACAGGGTCTTTAACACAAAGAACACATACAAGAAAACATGCATTAGATCAGATAAACATACTGTAAAAATGTTTTCAATTGACCCAAATTTTTGAATTAATGAATATAAGCATTAACAGAGGGGTTGGTCTAAACATGCAGGTATTCCTTCACTAGAAGACTATGGAAAGACATGGTGGTATATCCTTACATCCTTCTCGGTGAGACTTGGGGTCGGCGTACAGATGCTCAATCCTGCTTGTGTTGAATGAGGATGACCTTCTTATGATTCCATGGACCTGAAATGTACATTATCTTGATAATGCAAGTCAAAATATTTCATTCGGATATGTGACAATGAACTAATTGTGGAGACAAAGTCAAAAAGATTTTTTTTATGAAAATGTGATGAAGTTGTACATTGTAACTGCAATAGATCATGAAATTGTAGAGTAAACAGTCTAAGGGAGGTAATCCAGATATGTCTGACTGACACTATCAAAGGCACCAACAGTTATGTCCCTTGAAAATGTTCACCAATCAAGAAAATAGTGTTTTCTGTATAAGGAAGGCTACTCTATAAGAAGCCAGGTATTTAGAATTGGCAGCCTTTAATTTCTTCTTACTGGACTTTCACAATACTTTTGCTGACAAGTTTTATGACAAGATATTCAAATGAAACTTACTTCATATCCTTTCCCAAGAAGGAACTCGGCCAGGTAGGAACCATCCTGAAAACAAATAAATCACCGTTACCATGGCCACAACATTAAGAAATTTCAAAATTTATGACAAGGCACATTTTTATATTAACAGTGAGTGAATTGGGTTTAACGCTGCTTTGATCAGTATTCCGGTATCACGGCATGTCAGCCTAATGTGGCAGGAAAGCCTGAAATGATGCAGGTCTCAGACATTTACCACTTCGGTGAAACCCACGAGCACGGGTAAGGTGCTGACAAACCTCGAAATATAATCAGGGCGAACTGGGATTCGAACCCACAATCATAAGTTTCTCAAGGGACGCAGCTCTGCACGGCGAATTACGCGATCTTAGACAACGGGGCCTCACATGTACCCTTATATCATGTTTATAGAATGAGAAATCGTGAATCCTCTTTGAAAATAGCCCTTTAAGTAGAATGTTTGAAAGTATATGATCATCAATTCAAAGATATTTCTTTTTACACACTGTTACAAGACATCTGTAGGATTCAAGGACTTAACACCTGTTTCTCTGATCACTTTAGTATAAATGTAGATAGCTTTTTGAAACTGAAGGGTTGATGGTTAAAATATAACAAAAGGTAAATGAGTGAGTGAGTTGGGTTTAACGCCGCTTTTAACAGTATTCCAGTTATATCACGGCGTGTCAGCTTAATGTGGGAGGAAAGCCCGAAGTGATGCAGGTCTCAGACGTTTACCACTTCGGTGAAACCCACCAGCACGGGTATGGTGCTGACAAACCTAGAAACCTAATCGGGGCGAACCGAGATTCGAACCCACAATCATAGGTTTCTAGCGTGCCCAAAGGACGCAACACTGCACAGCAAATCGCGGCGCCTTAGACGACTGGGCCACCCATGCCCCCCACAAAAGTTAAAGACGAATTTTCACAAGTGACCACTTAAAAGTATCATCAGTAGCATATATTCTAGAAATAAATGTTTGGTAACACATCAAAGGGTTATTTCCCTTCTTCTATTGTCCTAAGGTAGTTTTTATTGTCACTGAAATTGGTTCACAGATAAACAAGAGAGTAGTGAAATTTGGGTTTGGTGGATGTGTAAATTAAGTGATCCCTTTTGCCCATAAATTTGCCCATAAACTTTTTTCAACTAATTTGAAACAAGCATCAAGATGAAATTGATTGTATTATGATAAATATGAATTGCAACTTTAGCTGCAATGTCATGTCCTGACTTTTTTGTTTGTTGTTTAACTCCACACTCTGCAATATGACGGCGGTCTGTAAATAATCGAGTCTGGACCAGACAATCCAGTGATTGACATCATGAGCATCAATCCACGCAACTGGGATACGATGACATGCATCAACCAAGTCAGCGAGCCTGACAACCCGATCCTGTTAGTCCCCTCTTACAACAAGCAAAGTCACCTCTTACAACAAGTATGGGTTTCTGAAGACCTATTCTACCCCGGATGATCGCGGGTCCTGACTTCAAATAGCATCATGAGGTAATGAGGTTATGACAATGTGCAATGGGACACCATGACAATCAATTCCTTTAATGGTATGGCCTCGATTATCCAATGTATAATACGTCTAATTTATTATGATTAAAAAAAACTTGTCGCTTCGCCAGCACAGCTGAGCCCAATTCATATAACACAGCCATCCAACCAAATTTCTTATAAGGAAATCTGCAGACTGACATTTAGAGGCAGAAATATAGTTATCTTATTTAAAAATATATATCTACAAAATATCAAATATAATCCAAATGGAGGCTAGAATATTTCTTAATTTCCAAGAGCTGAGAAAATCTAGACTTGTCAAATCATTCTAGTGAGTGAGTTAATATTTAAAGTCACATCGGCAGTATTTCAGCCATATCGTGACTTGAACAAGTTAGGCATTGATATTCAAATCATTCTAGACTTGAGTTGCATTTATTTGTAAAATATTCTCAAGGGCTGGGAGATCGACTAGAAAATCTAACTTATGCAAAGTTAGAGATAGTAAAGATTGAGATTGTACATCACTTACAAATCGAAGCCATGGTGGGGAATGACCCAAGAGTACATCTAAAAGGCAATTCAGGCGATGTATTGGATCCTTTGATCTTTGGTAGTAACTTAACTTAGTCTGGTAAAGTTAAGTAGAGTTTTTGAGATTTTCTAGGGACTCCGTAAAGTTCTAATCTTGTACACGTACAGTTATGACTAGGAACATTTGACTTTCATGTTTAATTTCAAACACTGTTATCTCATTATAAATTCATCTGTAACACCCATTCCTATCTTGTATCATGAAGTCATCTCTTGTATCATCAATTGAATATGAGCCTGTGAGCAAGTCTAGATAGAGCCCTGTTGTATAAAGTTAGTCATCTCTTGTATAATCAATTCATCTGTCTCACACACTATCATCACTTCGTGTAAAACAGACTCATGATAACATTTATGAATGGATAACAAAGCTGCTTCAATAATTATGTAAGATGCTGCCAGAGAAACATTTCCATCTTTGCTTTGCTTCAAAACATTGTAACTATATTTATTCCCACATTCAAAACCCTCAAGGGTTTACAATGACATCATCTAACAGACACCATCATCACATAGATGCAGTGTCTTTGCCACTGTAGAAGTAATAGGATTTTATGTCCCTTCACCAAATCTTTCGTTTTTCTGTAGCCTCTTCTACTGTAAGACTGTAGGAGTTGTCTCCCTTCAACTGTAAATCATCAAGCTCCTTCCCAGCATGTGACACCTTCGTTACACTCTTGGTAACATCGCTGCCACCAGTGTGGGCGCAGCTATTATAAGAATCTTGAAATTTGCCCTCTAACCCCATATTAGTAATGTTTATACTTTTGTTTATGTCTTTGAGAATGCCATCATATTTCATTTTGAAAAGGTTTACGACTGAGCATGTTTTCCAGGTGAATTTACTTTGTTGTTTTAATAATCAGATTGGTTAGAGATTGCAGACTAACGGAAAATCAACCAACTTCTCCCTTACATTCTTACTATATCAATTAAAGATGATACTTTTAATGAAATAGAAATTCAAATTGACAAAGAAAGAAAGTAATTTATCAGCGGTAAGTGTATTTGGCGTCACGACAGTCGTCACTTGTTTGTTAACATAATGGTCATTCGGTTGCGAGTTCAACTCCAAGCATGGTTGGGGCCACCCATCACAGTGGGGAGTGTCTGGTGGCAGCGATAGTATAGAGAGCTCCCCGAACAGACTATCACTGTGAGGAGCTTAGTAAATCATATCTAACTGTGCCGCCCAAGCTCAACATCAAACTCAGCACATGGGCTGACTTAAAAGATCGATAATTGGAATTATCGTTGATGGATAGAAATATTAATGATTATCAATATGAAAATTGTGTCATCGATAATATCTTACACATAATGTTGTGATGAACTTAAGTTAAACTTTATTCAAACAGACTTGTTTTTGCCCATTGCTGAAGACGAAAAGCAACTGATTTGTTATATCTTAAATGTCCCCAGAGTAATCTATAGCTACTTTTGTCACCATCACCAGTGACATGAAATATATTGTTTTGTCTCTGAGCTTTTTCATATATGCTCAATTTCAGTTTACGGTTATCGATCTCTAAGATCTATATCTACAGCTATCCCGACTCAGCACACTGTAAAACTAAATATCTTTTTTTCTGAGCACAAACTGTTACTGCCATACAGCAGCTGATACAGTTAGTTTACAACAGCTTTTATGATTTAGGGAGGGACCTGTTCAAAAGTTGGATGTCAGATAAAAATCTGTATTCCTTGAGTTTAGGGGTGGGGGGTTGATGGCCCTTTAAATTCCATCCGACAAAATCAACTTACCTGATTTCTCAATGTTTTATATAGTAACTGAACTAAACCAATCCTATTTTTATTCAAATACTGTTAGAAGTTGTCATTGAATACATGCAACCTTTCCACAAGGTAGCTAGGGTTTTATCATCTCAGGCAATGGTCCATCTGGTGCAGTGTGTAATATATGATGACAGATTTGATCTATAAAAACAAGTCAGGGATAATTCTGGGGTGGGGCCTTGTGTTTTTAGCCCCTGAATTTGAAAAAAAAGACCCACATTTTCAAATACAATGGGGCATTTTAACATTGTGCTGTATGGGCAAGTACCTCTTAAATATTTTAAATTTTCACATAAAGGGCCCATGTAAGAAAATTCCGAGAGTGAACCCTGCAAGTGATTGTAAACACCTAGTAAATATACTTCATTCAATAAACGTTCTGCATAACAGTGCAAAATATGAAAATGTGGGGCAAAGGAGGCCAATAAACTCAGAAATTTACCATTTTCAGAACTCAGTTTTTAGAGGGGAGGGGGTATGTCTCAAAACTTAAGGAATTACATTTTTTTAAGTGACCACAAACTTTTGAACTGGTCCCTTACATGTCATCAAATGCAAAAAATGGAAAGGGCAACTGTCAGCTTATATCTGAGATATCTGTACTAGATACACATTCATTATCTCCCCTTACACATGAATGTCGGATTCTGATTGGCTGAGACCCGGTTTATTATTTTCAATGAACCCAGCTAACATGTAAGGTACATATGTTATATTCCCCACTCAAATAGCCGAACTGTTGGCATTACATTTGCACCACACCAACCACAATTAACTGCAGATAAATTTGTGTCCATGTGTTTCTCTCGAGACATGAGTTGGTGTACCCTCGCCCTTCCAGCTTGGCAATAACCATAAACTAACTTAGAGGATACTTCAACCCGTATGCCCCTTGAGGCCGGTGAACAACTTATATTATCATACCTCCATGTCAGAATGACGAGATCTGATTGGTCCACGTGATCTTGATCAAATGTCATTGAATACTGTGTAACCCGCCTTGGAGGGTAATAAATTTCTCAGTGGAGGAATAAATCTTATACCCCGCCATGAGCGATACAGGCTGCACATGGATTTCTGAGAGGCAAAATGAATCCCTCATACTGCTTCAAAGAAAAATGCTGCACGCTTTTTCCCAGAG